CCTAGTGAATGTTATTCAATTTTGAGATCACTGGCTACCTGAGGAAAATGCTCCCAACAGTGTTGTGCAGTGTATCATATGTCCAGTTTCGATTTAGAAAAACACCTCCAAGACTTAAAAAATGGTCGATATACTCCAAACTATACCATTTGAACTACTAATTTACTCCAAAAAGTAGGTCGGATCTAAAGAAAAGAAAATAATCTTAACTTCTTATAGTTTAAATAAAGTGTGTAAAATTAATTATATCAATCTAGTAATCAATAGATAAATTAAAAGTCATGGCCACTAAAACTAAACCGCCCTACAAATCCCTGCTGCGAGGAGAAGCTAAACTAGAACTAGATGAAGAAACTAAAAAAGTGTGGGCTGATTTTGTCAAAAAAGCTAAAAAACACAAAACTGATCCTAGTCAACATAGCCAAACCATTATTTGTGGACGAGAAGAATTTGCCGAAACTAGAAAGAACCAAAAAAAATTTAAGAAGTAATGGACAGTTTCTTTGAACAGTTTATTAATGGTGTTTATCAAGAAGCTCAAGCAGTATTAAGTACTTTTTTTGGTTATCCACCTTATCGCTGCACCATTATTAAGTTTGGTGGTTTTTGCTACAGTCATAATTGATATGGAAAAACCGATCTAACTTATGATAAGGTCGGTAACCTAAAAATCTATACTAAAACTATTTATCTTAACTCACTTTTTATCACTAAGCAATTTAGTATTACTAATCATCCTGAATATGGTTTGCCTAACTTGGCTGATACTATTGCTCATGAGATTACCCACTGCTTAATTGCTGATTATGAACCAAAACAAGCTAGTCAGCATGATTTTACCCATGCTTTTATCACTGCCATTTTGGCTTGATTTATCCAACAAACTTATGAGTTCTGATTATTAGAACAGTTAGCCACGATGCAAAAAAAGTCTTATCCTATCCTAACTCACTTAAAAAGATACAGTCACTAAATAGTTAGCAGAAAAAATGAATATTCTAAGTATTTACTGGCAGTATTAGTTGATCACTATCTCCGGATGACAAATACTACACCGTTCTCAATGACAAGGTCGCATATTGGCACTCTTGTAGGTATAAGTCTCTCCGTTCTCCCTTTTTCCTTCTCTCACTTCTAAAAACCCTCTTCAGTGTTGACCATCCAGTTGACAACTTAAAATTTGGTGTCCACTCTGAGTTTCTTTTAATTCAATTCAAAAATGATCCACTTTTAACTCCATATTTTAATTTTTTTACTTCCTCAAACCTACACTCTACCGACCCTTTTTAACTAGAATTCTTTTGTGCCATTTTGAACTACTGGACAAAATGAATTTAAAGGATGATCAGATCCTTTGAAAGATAATCCAAATGCTCCAAAACTACACTCCCCAAGATTTAAAACTAGCTTATCAATTAGTCCAAACTGACTTATTTAATTCACTCACTAATCTAACCAATGGTGCCAGTCTAAGATTAGGCTCGTTAGGTAAATTCACCAAAAAAGAACATACCATCAAAAGTGCCTTATTTAAAAAGCAGTTAGGGAATAAAAATATTTTTGTTTATTACCGAATTAATTTTAAACCCTTCAGTAAACTAAAAGGGTTATTAACTAATCAGATTATTAATAAGTATAGTTTAAAGAAGAAAGTAAAGTAATTTATGCAATTTAAAAAGAAATATTTATTAATCGTGGTCGCTTTAGTCTGCTTAGTGCTTTATGGCTATGGCTCTCACCTAAATCCAGACTACACCAGTGGCTTACCCGTCCTAGGTGGTTTAGCCTTCGGTTTAAATACCCTGATCCAATTAGCTCATTAATATGCCCCTATTATCAGAAAATACCAACCCTAAAACTCAAACCGAAACTAAAACTCAAATTCCGGCTAACCCCCCTAAGCAAGGACTATTTACTTTACCAGATTCGGTGCTGAAATTAGTCCCCTGAATCCCATTTATTTTAGAAGCCACTACTGGTCAAAAGATACCTCAACTAGGAGGAACCATGGCCGAAGTTCAAACCGCTTTACAACAACTCCAATTAACCCAATCCCAAATTATTACTAATCAAACTCAAATCTATCAACACCTTGAACAGTTAAAAACTAATGCTACTCAGCAACTCACTAATTTAATCGACCAATTTAAATCATTTCGTTTAACCCATACCCAAGAGAAAAAACAAATCGAATTTCACCCTAACCCTAAATTAGAATCCGACTATTAACCACTTATGTCCTTCCTACCCGACTTAACTCCCCTAATCCAACAAATCAAAGAATTTAATACTAATCAAGTTAAAACTAATCAGTTATTAACGGAGATTAAAGAATTACTAACTAAAAAATAATATGCCAAATATTGACCAACTAGAAAAAAAACCTACTCGCAGTCCGCTCCTCTCTGCTCGGCGGGAAGAAATCCTCTACCGGGAAGACATTAAAACCTCCTTTGGTTATGCCATCGCTGGAATTACCATCTCCCTCGCCATTGCCGGAGGAGTCTATGTGATTGGTAAACAATTACTCAAATAAACTATTTTGCTTACTTTTCTAAAAAGTGAGATGAAAGTTTAAATAACCTTGACACAGGAAGTTATTTACAACTTCTGTGTGGTTTTTAATTAACAATAGAAATACAAAAACAACATGAATCACCAAAATCAAAATACTTGAAAATCTTACGTGGACTGATGACCATCTTATATTGTCTTAGGAATAACCCTCGCTTACTTTGTAGATGAGACCGGTATCGTCCAAAAACTAACTAACAAATTATTTAAAAAAGAGAGTGAATAATCCCACTCTTCCTTAACTAACCCTTACCCTCCCTTATGAACTCCGAACTCTTAACTCTCAATCTCTCCGACTTAGAAACAGTGCTAACCAAAAGGAATTGCTCGTGTCATTTTATCAATCCCAATAAAACCAGAATAATCTTGTGAAAAGAAGTCAAAGATGGAGTAATCACTTACTACTTAAGAATTGGAATTCAGAAATTTAGCTCTTACCCACTCACCGATAAAAACCAAGCCATTTACTGAAGATTTAAGCCTTGAGAAAGATTATCGGAAACTCCCACTGAAAAAACTGCCGAACTAAATCATCATGGTGAATCAATTGACACTACCTCAACTAACTAATACGGTTCAAACCTTAAGCACTAGTTTACAAAGTATCCAACCCCTTAGTTTAGGTAATTCCGAGACCACTCAACTGATCACTTACACCCTAATCGCTACTGCTCTAGTCGGCATCTTTGTTTATCACTATATCAAAACTCACGAGCAAACTAATTAACTATGGCTCTCAAAGACTACCTCCCCAACTTCCAAGCAGCCTTAACTGGCTTTTATGAAGCAAGTTTAAAAAATACCGTGGAAACCACCACTACTGAGTTTAAAACCCTACTCGAACAAAATATCGCTTATGGACAGAAAACCCAACGAGCCTTAGTAGCGATTGCTTTAGGAATCTTTTTCTTACTGTTGATTGCTTACTTTTGGAAATAATTTTTTTACCAAAAAGAATTACTTCGATTTACGAAAGAAATAAATAATAAACTTAACTCTCACCCACCCCTTTACCTTAACTTTACCTAATTACTAACTAACTAAATCAACTAAAATATGAATCCTCAAAGACAACTAGAAATAACAATGGGTTATCGTTTCAAGTATATCGCCCTCGGAATTGTTACCTATGTGGTAGTAAAAAATGCTTGACGAATATATAAAAACAACCAAGAACCAAAATAAAAAACCTTATGCTCCAAAAACTAAAAGAACACAAATGAACCATTGCTGCCATCGTAGTAGCCCTGGTAGTTGCTTACTATTTTTACCAAAAAAACCAAACTAATAATTAGTTATTATGACTAAAAGAAAACACCAAGTTTGCCTAGGTTGTGGCGATCACTTCATTACCTTTAAAAACTATGACTACTGTGTAGGCTGTGCAGTTAATGGTAATCGCTATCTCACTAAAAGTCCTTGTTCAGAATGTGATGGTTCGGGAATAATTAAGTTCCGGAATCAACCACCACGACCTTGCAAACTCTGTTCGTTAACCAAAAACTCTATGAAT